CCTTTTGTTCGATTTGTATTAAAAGTACCCTCAAGTATTTTCATTATTTCTGACTGATTTTGTTAACATATTTAGGTAAATATGTTAACAAATGGAAAAAATGTTGGAGGCTTTCTAGAAGAGTCATCGTTTGCATTGAATGAAAAATTAACTTGTTCAAGTTTTGTTGTAATTTGATAGTTCATGCGAAACATGATTATCATCTGTTATATTTTGAAATTCAAAACGTTTAAGCAATGTACCAAGATAAATTAACTTTAACATACTAGGAATTGAAAATAGTAAGTGACATTTTTGTGTTCTAATGTGTTGATCAGTGTTGCAGTTTGCTCCAAATACTGTGTGGTCGACAAGATTGGGGTTTGATGTCGAGTGATTCGTAGAAGTCTCTACAACAATGATCAATGAGGAAGATGTTGTGACGGCTAATCGAACATGGTCAGGTACGGCCGAGCGCTAGTAAGATTGAGCCTACACCGCTACAGTCTGTAACTTATCGGCAGATCTTACGGCAAGGCAATTCAAGCGGCCGCCGAACACATGGCCCTTTGGTGCTGTAAATGAACGTCTGAGGCTTGGTCGGCTTTCGTAGATTTTGCGCAGTTATGTGTGATGGTATCCGTCTCTGCACATAGTTTCCGTTTTTTGCAATGTTTTCAAATGTCATACAGTTGCCGTTTCTTAAGAGAATTTGTGATGAATTTTGGAAGCTCTGAATTCCATGGTTTGCAATACATTTATCTCGATTTCTTTTAATTTTGCAAAGCAGTACGACGATTTGCTAGCGCTAGTACGGCGCGACGGCTCGCTGGCGCGAATGTGTCACGGACGCAGAAGAACGGAAAGCTGAAGTGCGTTTGCCTGGAGGTAGCCATATCGGCGCGTTCATGACTTAAATGAAGTCTGGGATGGTCGACCGTTGTAATATTTAACAAGAGTTAATATCTGTTAGCAGGTGGTGATAACTGATAGACCGTATGCTGTTCACTGTCAACCGCTCGAGGACGTGCGACAGTCAGAGGTAGCCGTGTCTGTGCATCTAGAAAATACTAGAGACGTTGCAACACTCTAGCGAAGTAATTATTCTATTGCAGGAAAGGAACATGAAGTTGCAGGGAGGCTGGTCTGTGCTGCACTGGGATACGTGTCGAGTTGCTGTTGGTTTACATACTTAGGTGTTATCGTGTCACTACGTCCCTCACGATACACTTTTGTGTGATTGTGACGGGGACATGTTTGCGGTATGGTTGGTCTGTAACTGTTCTATACTGAATTGAAAAAAAAGAGAGTAAGAAAAAAAATGTGGTTCTTACTATCATTGCAGGGCGTTTGCCGGTCCAATGATATAGCTACAGGGAATAGTGATTCCGGACTAGCATTAATAGTACTAAAAAAAAAGAGAGATTAAGAAAAAAGAATAGTTCTTACAATCATTGCAGGGCTTTGTGCCGGTCCAGTGATACAGCTATAGGGAATGGTGATTCCGGACTAGCGATAACAGTACTCGAAAAAAAATGAGAAAATAGAAAAAGTTACAGACTAATCATTCCGATCTAACATAAAGATGATTAAAGTTTTGTAGGGCTTACTGCCGGAACAAAACAGACTGTCACCCGAGTCTGAAGGGTCAATATAGACCGGACCAGACGCTGTTTTGTCAGGAGTATCGACCGATGTTTTTCTGTCTACAGATAACTAAGATTGTGACGGAGCGCGTGCGAGGACGCACGCATGTCAGTATGGCCGTGACGGCACGTGCGACGACGTCGGTGTAGCTAGACAGAATTCTTGTAAATAACACGTGCTCTGCACACCTGCACTATTGCACCTGCGATGGTGCCCGTTTTGCTTGTATAAAACGGACGGAGCGGCCGCCGTTAAGACAGTCTTGACTCAGACGTGGAACGGTGCGCTTGTCGTATTGCGTTACTAGTTTATCCTCGACTCGTTGGATAATTAATTCGTGTAAACGAATTAATTATTATTCCTAACTACAAAATTAGTCTCTGTACTATAATCAATTACCCCTTCCTACATATATATATATATATATATATATATATATATATATATATATATATATATATATATATACAGAATGTCCCAGTAATGGTGGATAGTCTGGTACATACGTGTTCGGACGGGGGCGAGGTGGCCTCGGTTCCCTAAAAAAAATTCTATCCCGAACAGTTCGCGGTCTACGTCATGTTTTATAAAACTCCGAAAATTCCTACTTCTGCTCCCATTCGTGGTCATCACGTCCGCAGTTTAATGCCTAGATCGGATTTTTTTCTTTTAATGTGTTCCCTCATAATGATGTTTCTAAATTACCCTTTAAAGTTTTCAACTACTATGGGTAGTATTTTACAAGACGGCACTAAGCATAAGTTTAAATTTTTTTACTTTATTTAACTGCTAAGTTTGAGCACCCGTAGTGAAAAAAAAAACGTATGTAATTTGTGTTGCCAACCATTTAAAAAGTTTTCCTATATCATAAGGATTCTAAAACATTAGCATACCATGTACTTAATGTCATTACTTATTGAGCTAGAGCCGTTAATGTGTAAAAGTAGGCATTTCATTACAAAATTACAAAATTATTGGCATTGCATGTCTTTATTAGGTAAGTACATTCGTCACCCTTGAAAATTTGCTTTACTACCTGCTCGCCTTGTTTAGATGAATTCTAAGTTGTGTGAGCGAGACAAACGGTGCTTAGGATTAATGTGACTAAAAATGATCGACATATACTCCTTTGTATGAATTTGTGTTTGGTTATTGTTAAATATGGTTAGTGCGTATCTCGACCTTTTCTACATCACATGTGCTCTATTATTTCAGACTTTTGGCTACAAAATACTATATCGCATTCTACTGCACTCTTGACTTGTGCATTTAGATTGGATTTCGATTGTTTGGTGATAATTGTGACAACTCGGTATTCTACTGGACTCATGATTTGTGCATAACAACAGGACTGTGTCATGTCACGAGAAATGTACACACCCCAAGAGTATGCTATCATGCATTTTATCTATGTAGCGTGTTTATTAGAATGCACGGCATTTATTCAGGGGGGAGAATGCCTGGTGCTGGTATAGGTGGTGCCAGTTGCAGAGGACGATACCTGACATTGACATTGAAGAAACTGTCCATGATATTGTTGAAAAAGATCCGTCTATTCCGATGCGAGATATCAAACGACGCACTGGAGTATAGCACTCTACAGCCCATTGGATTTTCAAAAATGGAGACTTCGCCCTTATCATGTTACACGTGTGCAAACGTATCAACAACGTGACTAAAAAGCACGAATTACTATTTGCAGAGAAATGCTAAGGCGATTGGATGAAGATCCCGGGTTTTTTTTAGAAAAATTTTGTGGAGCGACGAGTCAACGTGTAAAAGAGACGGATACCTTAACTTGCATAATCTGCACAGTTGGCAGCAAACAAACCCATATTTGATGAGAAAAGATAGGTCTCAATACCAGTTTAAAATAAATTATTGTACCGGAATGCTAAACGGAAGAATCATAGGCCCCTAGAATTGCCGGATAAACTGAATGGGGCCAGTTATTTAGAATTTCTGCAAAACGAGCTGTCCCATTTATTAGAAAATGAGCCACTAGACATACGGAGAAGAATGTGGCTCCAAAATGATGGTTGTCTGGCACATTACGCTGTCCAAGCAAGAAGTTACTTAAACGAAGCCAACCGTGACCGGTGGATCGGCCGAATGGCACCGATATTGTGGCCACCAAGATCACCTGATATTAACCCATTAGATTTTTTGTTGTCTCGCTCACACAGCTTAGAATACGTCCAAACAAGGCGAGCAGGTAGTAAAGAAAAAAATTCAAGGGCGACAAATGTACTTAGCTAATAAAAATATGCAATGTTAATAAAAACTATCTGCCAATAATTTTGTAATTTTGTAATGAAATGCCTACTTTTACACATTAACGGCTATAGCTCAGTAAGTAATGACATTAAGTACATGGTATGCTAATGTTTTAAAATCTTTAAGATATAGGCAAACTTTTTAAATAGTTGGCCACACAAATCCTATACGTTTTTTTTCACCACAGGTGCTCAAACTTAGCAGTTAAATAAAGTAAAAAAAATTTTACTTGTAAATTACTACCCATAGTATTTGAAAACTTTAAAGGGTAATTTAGAAATATCATTATGATACACATTAAAATAAAAAAAATCCGATCTATGCATTAAACTGCGGACGTGATGACCACAAATGTGAGCAGAAGTAGGAATTTTCGGGATTTTATAAAACATGACGTAGACCGCGAACCGTTCGGGAATTCGGGATATATATATACAATAACTAAAGCACTACGTTTGTACATAAATAGTGGATGTATCTACGGTTTTAGTTCTGGTGTTTAAAAAAGATAGTCACCTACCATCAGTTTATCCGCAAGCTCGTTTGTCCCCTCTTATATAAAGAAAAAGATGAATCTCCACTTAATGATAAATTGTTGTAAGTAATGACACTGGAATAATGATTCTTATCCCGCTTTTAATAAAACCAGGTAGTTGATTATAATAAGGACAGATTCTTGAATCATCAGATAAAAGTTATTTAATATCAATAAAAAGCATAACAACATAAAAATAAAATTTGCAAGAATAAAATAATTTCTCGAATTGTTCCATTTTAATATTTAGCTAGGTTATATTTTCGTTAATAACTTTTATCTGATGATTAAAAACTGAACTCTGAAATGAGTTTCAATATTGTCATTATTAATGTCTTTTGGTAAATACGTACTATTATCGGTGTATTACTAACTACATAACACATGATTTATAAAGTCTTATCATGATACCTTATTATTATAATTTATAGTACTATTAGTTCCCAAGGAGCCGCCGCATGTTTATTAATGGATTGATAACAATAGTATAAATATTAAAGAAAACTTGACAATTTAATATTCGTCAGCTTGTTATTCTTATACAAGTTACAAATTACACAATTTACAAGTTTGAATTTTCTAAAGATTCTGCGATATGTTGTCTACTAAACGATGTAGAACGCCACGATGTACAACTGCGATTAAATTTTTTATAAGCAATAAATAATAACAAAACAATTATTATTATTAAAGTTAAAGAAACACATATCTCGATAAAGTTGAATTTATTTTGTGTAGCTAAACTACCTTCAGTATTAGATAATTTTTCTTTAATAGGTTCTTTTGTAGCCATGGCTAGCGATATCTTACTATCGATCTCAGACATAATGCTTTCTTTTTGAACAACTAAATCGCTCTGCAATTCTTGCTTTATTTGATGTATATGTGAAATAATATTATTAAAAGTGGCATTATCTTTTACTAAAGGACTTAAGGAGGGCTTTACTGTAGTGTGCATTGCAACTATCACTTTCAAAAGTCTTTCTAGTAAAGAATTAGTACGATTGTTATCTCTATCAATTGAGAGTGCAGCATCATTCAGACGTGACAATTGCTTCATGACATCATTGTTGTACATCTGAATTCGTTCAGTAATATTAGCAAAATAGTTTTTACCGTCAAATTTTAAAGGTTCATATGTTTTCGATATACTAGAATTTACCAAGATGGTTTTTAATTCATTAAGAATTTGCACGGAGTTAGTTTCTTCTTGTGTAGACAGTGTGTCTCTTATTGATGTATACTGATTATTGCATGTTATACCTTTTATGTTTTCACTATGTACATCTCGTCTTATTGCCGTTATTTCAATATCACTATCTTGTATTAATTCAAGAATTTTTCTACACGATATAGGATTACCTCCTATACTTAACTTCGATAAAGGAGTGTATGGAAATTTTATATTAATGTTACTAATTTTGTTATTATCGATTATCAAGGTGTTTAAATTTACTGCTCCCATAATTTTATCATATTCCAAGCTTTCAATTTGGTTAAATGATAAATCCAAAATATTTAAATTTATTAAACCATGTGATATTCCATAATTAATATTGACTAGAAAATTATGAGACACGTTTAAAAATTTCAAGCCATAATTAGTTTTGAAGGCACCAGGTTGAACGTATTTTATCATATTGTAACTTAAATCAAGGTACTGTAAGCAGCTTACGTTCAAAAATGCGTTTTTATCAACTTCTGATACTGCATTGTTAGTTATTACTAACTTTTCTAAGTTCTTAAGGCTACTAAGATGTAGAGTAGTTATATTTTGTATTCGTGCATAGGATAACTGTAACTCTGTAAGCATAGTTTTATTCATATCAATGAAATTTATATTACTCACGATTCCCGAGAGATTTAGACTACGTAAATCGTTTAATGTTGAGAAACAGATCAGCTTTAAGAGTAAAATAGGATTAAATGATAGATCTATGTGATGTAATGATTTGCGTTCTAGGAAAGATTTATTATCAATTTCGTGCAGTCTGTTATGAGAAAATGTTACTTTGAAAAGATTAGGAAAATTTTTAATTAAATTTGGAGAGATTTTAGTCAATAGATTATTATTTAAAAAAAGTATTCGTAAAGATTGTAAATCAGTTGCATTAACAACAAAATTTGTAAGTTTATTATACGACAAGTCAATTATCTCTATGCGTCCAGTGTGAAGAAAGGAATCGAATTCAAGTTCGGTAATTGAACTATGGGACATATTAAGATTTTTTAAAGATCTCATGTTTTGAAATGTGTTGTTTTTTAATGTTGTTAGATTTTTTTTTTTTTTTTTTTTTTTTATAGAATAAGGGTGACAAACGAGCACACAGTCCACCTGATGGTAAGTGGTTGCTGCGGCCCATAGACATCTACATCTATCCTCGATTACAAATCAAAATGTAGATGCGTTGTCACCCGTGAGGACTAAGATGGAATGCCTCATTTCCAGTAAAAAGGGCCTCCGGCCACCTGCACTCACCAAGCGAAACGCAGAGGTAAACCTCCACTTCACGCTGGTTTCCTGTGAGGTCGTGGTACCACCCCGGTTCGAGCCGGCCCATCCGTGCGACAGCAAAAGCTGCCGCGTGGCTCTACCACTGTTACAGTAAGAAATATCAAGCCTTGGTAGTAAAACTAACCCGTCAAATGAATTTGAATCCAAGAAAATTAACAATGGATTATTAAATAAATTAAAAAATTCTAAATGTTGTAGTTCTTTGAATGAACTACTTTCGATTTTTGAAATATTGTTATTGGATAAGTCTAAAACTTGGAGATGAGTAAGTTTATTAAAATCTTCCTGTTTTATATCGTTTATCAGATTATTTCTTAAAGATAGGTATCCCAAATTCAATAGGTCGATTTTTTCAAAATTTATCTTAATAAGTTTATTATTCGAAAGATTGATTTCTTTAACGTTTTGTAAATATCTAAAAGACTTGTTGGACAAACTCTTAATTTTATTATCATTCAGTAACAATATTTCTAGATTGTCTAAACCCATAAACGCATAGTCTTCAATAGACGTTAAATATTGATTTGATATGTCAAGCTCAGTAATATCACTAAGACCAATGAACATTCCTGTTACAAGTTCGCCTTCTATAATGTTATTTTGTATAGAAAAAAACGAGATATTTTTACCTCTAAACAATTCTTTTGACATATGTTTTAGCTTATTTCTTGATAAGTCAACGTACTGTAAATAACGTGTGTTACTAAATACTTCTTTATCAATAGCAAATAAAAAGTTATCACTTAAATCTAATGTGTTCAGATAAGTCATTTTATCAAAGCTACTCTTTTCTATGTACGATATGTTATTATTACTCAGGTATAATTTATTTAGGTTAAATAAGTTTTGAAAATCTCGACTCAAAATCCTTTCTATTCTATTATGTTCAAGAGATAATTCCTGGAGATCTTTAAATCTTAAAAATGAAGAGTTAATGTCTACTATTTCGTTGTGACCGAGTTGTAATCTTTGTAAGTTTTTAATTCCTTCGAAACATAGTATATTCAAAGTGTGCAACCGATTATTTTTTAAATTTAAATATTGCATTTGAGAAAACGAAGAAAATATTGATTCTGGTATTTCTTCTATTAAATTGTGAGATAAATCAACATCTATTAATTCAACGTAAGCGTACTCGGCCTGGTTAACTTCTATTAACTTAATCATGTTGTACGAGAAATCAACAGATTTTAAGTATTGAAATTCGATGTTATTCGATAATTTAGCAACAATCAAATTATTGTGCGATATATTCAATAACATTAAGTGTGGCATATAATTCAATGTAGGGTGAAGTTTAAGCTGATTATGACTTAAATCGAGTTGAACAATTGCCATTGTGACATAGTTATTGGGATCATTCCCAATAGATATATGCTCATCGTAATTGTTATCTTGTAATACTTCTCTGTAAGCAATATGCACTGGTATTAATTGCATGCCATTAACATATATATTATTGGAGCATGCTATGTTATTGTAGTCTGCAACATAAGGATCTATATTTCCTGTGCAGTTTAAGTTGTAAATGCAAAGTTCTTTATCAAAGTTTAGGTTACATTCCATGCCAAATTTGGCGACTGCTTTAGTAATTGAGACAAATAGGATCAAAAATATTATCCCTGAAAAGATAAAATACGTAATTTTAATATTTGACAGTATTTTTAGATGATGTTCAAGGCTTTGTTTCTAATAACACCTTTAGTAGGTCGTAACATTCAACATCGATTATTATTATTATTTATTTTTATATTACTTGAAACATCTATCGTTATAGGTCGAACCCAATCCAAAAGTGTCTTCTTTTTCATTCTGAACTAAATCTTATACTATTAATATTAAAATTTATTTAACTAAACAAACTAATAAAAAACATATTAACTATAAGCGATATAAATTTATAATACCAAAAGTCAGCTTAAAAGAACTCTTCACAATCTTAAATAGCACCAACCCCTACACTAACGTACACTTTATATTATGACCTTTGTCAATTCACTAAAGTGGTAACTAAATATGTAAATTTTATCATGCACAAGGTTGACCACGTGAAGAGCTTGAGCTGGAGGCGTTTTTGCTAGCCTGTTAGTCTATTATAAGATTGTGTCTCTATTATATTGTAGGATGGATTTGCTACGTTTGGCGGATAGAATACTCAATAGATAGCTCATAAATAGATACTTCACAACCTTAGTCCAGGGCTCTTCCGATACCCAAGGGACGAATTGGGGTTTGGATTTTCTTATGCCGTCACCATACAACTAATGAAATAAATAAATAATAATAAAAAAAAATTAAAATGTTATTTTAATAACGTAAGATTGTTGAATTAATTTTGAACGTGTTTTTTTTCATTCAGTATTAATTCCTACATTGTGATTAATATTATCAAAGTTGAAAATAATAAATAATTGTAAGGCACTGTTTTGTAAACAATAAATCGAGTGAATGCAACATTAGGGGTGACCCACATTGCGTCCTTTGGGTGTCGTAAGTGCTTGTTCACGTTAACTCGCGGGCGCAGTGGCGAGCGCGATCACGAAATATCAAATACATAGCATTATATGCAAGTGTTTACGTACAAAACGCAGGTGCGGTGGAAGTTGCTCGTGGAACAAACTGGCGACTATCACGCGCGTCACGCTTGCGGCAATATAAAACGTGGACTGGCCTCGCATCATTATTCCCCTCTGCCAGTTCTCTTTCTTTGTTAATTTCGTGCACACCAATTCCACTTTTGTCATTTCCCACTTTCGATAAGAAATTTCTAATAAAAATAAAAGTTTGTCGTCCGTGTTCACAACTTCTGACAACACGTCACACTCGCGCAAATGCCTAGCAACCAACATGAAAACGAGCTTGCACAAACCCTTGGGTCGACTGTCGCCCCCGCGCTCGTGTCTTCTACGAAGCAGCGCCTATAGAAAATACCAGTAATACCTCATGGCTAGAATAGATGGCGGTAAAACAATTTTGTCAAATTCAGACGTAAAATATGCAGACCGACCATGAGTAGCAGCGTCAAAGGGTCAAGACGTTTGGTACTGTGACCGTCAATTCGCATGCCTACTGTGACGATTAATAATGGAAAATCCTCTTTATGGCAGAGGCTGTACTACTTGTACTTTACTGTGCTTTTCTATAAAAGAGATGTCTTTTGATAGCTATGAATGACCGTACAGTTAGCAAAATAAACGTGCCCCGCTGCGTGACGCGGTTGGACGCGCCTTAGTCTTTCACGATTCGTTTTTACACTTAATTTAAAATACAATTTCAGAGTAAATAATTATTGACGAATATCTCTGTCTATAAATAATTCATTTGTTGTATTCCATATAGCGGGCCGATCATTACGCGTTCCAAATCGATGTTCATGTTCGTGATTAAAGGAAAGTAGGTGCTGGCATTTTTATTATTAGTTTTTTAAAGGATGAATATATTAATAGCGTAAATATACTGGCTCGTGTATTTTAATTTATTTAAATCTTTTTTACTTGCCGTCTTACTAGCAGGAGTGTATAAAAGACATTCTATTTCATATCACGGGTCGTAAGAGACGACAAAGGGAGATTCCGCGTGGATCATTTTTCATCATTGTTTACAAAACAGTGCCTTCGATAAATGGCGGTGGTCACACACTCAAGTCACTGGTAATAGAGTTATTTATGTTAATTAAGATTCTGATAATACTATCGAAATTCCACCTGCCAAGAGCAACGATCAAATCAAATAGAAACAAATATTTACTTTTATGTGGAGTGGGTTGTTCTATTGCTAAAAAATCTTCACGGGTTGATAAAGATGAACAAGAAAATAAGCTCAAATCTATTGAAATAGTTTACAAGTTGAAGAGTGAAATATTATTATGATACTTACGTAATATGGGGATATCCATTTTAAATGATGGTTACCTGTAATTAAATGTAAATAATTTATTTTTTATTTAATGTTTAGTTCTTACGACTGGACTGGGTTGCTACCAGTTAACCGTAATTTATTAAAATCATGATTTATCTTTTACAAAACTCAATTGACAAACAAACATACAGTCGACTGGATAGTAAGTGTTTAGTAAGTCCATGCACATCTGCTTGCAAGTGCAAGCACTGTTACTTGGTGGTTGAAATAGGTAAGAGGGTAGTACCTATCCAGATAGACTACTAAGCAGAAAAGGAGTTCTAGAACCTAATAAACTAAAAATTTAAGGTTAATTTGTCATTTTTGCTATAACTAACATCAGAGATTATGTCTTTTATCTTTGTATTATATAATATCTAACCGTTGGCGCTTGGCGCGTCTGTTAGTGATCGTATAATTACTGTACGAATTGACGGATTGAAATCAAATTAGTCTTGTCAAGACTCAGAAGGACTCATATTCCCATTGTATATCATTTCAGTGCCAATAAAAAAACACTTTTCACAAGATTGGTGGTACCGTGGTCGAATAGTAAATATATTTTATTGTTGGAAATGAGGGTAAAAAAATAAAAGGAAATACGAACAAATGAAGGTAGAATAATCAGAAGGTAGAATAGTAATCTCCTACTTGTTTTAGCAGTATAAAGTATCGCATGGGCGACTAAGAGGCATCAGTCTGTAATTCTAAGAGCATCAGTGTGTAATTCTAAGAGTACCACTGTCGTTACTATGCTCGTTGGGGTATTCTACTGGTATAGGCAAGAAAGGTCATGTTGCTGAGAGTCTGCCCTGTTACGTTGAGATGGGTAGTGATGCTGTTGGTTTGAATACTTTGGTGGTGTCATGTAATTGGGTCCTGATAGTAAGAAGGGTTTATTACCGAGTAGTGTTCTTTTATTTAAATATTTTTCAGAATAATTTCTAACATCAGAAGGGTAATAGTTTCTAAAATTATATTTACTTTGTATAAAGTTCGAAGTTCATCCGAAGTGAAACTCGTCGCGTCATTTACCCAAAAGGGTTGACTAACCTCCGCCGAACAAGCTAATATATAAAGAACCTGGGTGACTGAGGTTTGCTCGGCGCAGAAAAAAATCTCAGGGTTAAGATCGATCTAGATAGCATAGTGCACTTCAAAAGTAAAACATTATCTAATTACAAAATTTAATCCATATCGTTAGAGCGTTTTTGAGGAACCAAATACATAATAAACAAGAATTGTTCATTTAAAGTATAATGTTCTCCAGAGCGAGTGTCGGTCACGGCGGCCAGTCTCAACGTAGACTAGCCATCTGCGCAGTACAAGACTATAGTACCCGAGTGCGTGCAAAGGCCAAGTGCACTGTCTAATCCCTCACTCTCATCTATTTTTTTAATTCTAATATCGCTATAAAAACTAAATAATATGTGCCTGACAAGTCCTGATAAAACTTGTAGTTCTTGAGAGGTGAATTACAATATTAATCGTTTTTAGTATACCAAGGAATATCACAAGTTCAAGGTAACAACTAGGTAGAATGTCGTCTTAATAGTCATATTAAACATTTCATCACAATTTTAACTATAAATTATGATTATTAAAATTAGTTTTATTCCTTATAAATTTTATTCACAGTGAACGTGCTAGTGCTTCCCACTACACTTATGAACGGAAGAAGAAAAATGTTTGCTTTATTGTGGCGGTGAAAGAGAACCCACCACCTCATGTCGTTCCGTCGTATGAGACGACATAGGAAAACAAAGAGGAGATGGGCAGCATCATCTTCCTGATAACAGATTAAAATAAAATAGCTGCGGTTGCCAACACACCTACCAAGCGTGGCAACTATAGCAAATATCCAGCTACTTGACAATTTATGCGGGAGGCCTATGTGCATTTCAGTGGACTTTTTTTTAGTGGAATTTATTAGTGAAAACAAAAATAACTTTTCCGAAAATATGAATGAAATAAAAACTGCACACATTGCCCCATGAAAAGTAAAAAAGTAGCAGCTTACATACACGTTACTAAAAGTGTTGGCTGCGCTGATTCCAATGCGGGATGGCCTCAATTGGGAAACTTCTCAGATATGCTGGTTTTCCGTCACCGCCGAGAACGTGGTAAATCGACACATAAAATTGCAATTAATATATAATATGCTGATATATTTAATAATGCTTACGTACTAGGAAATTTAAGTTTTTATCAGTTTTATTACCGCCTTTGACAAGTAAAATAAACTGAACTTTTGATTAAGTAAAATCTGCTTTATTTAATTAAAGTATTTTCCACAAGAGCCTGTTAATTTAAAAATTAACGGTGGTAGAGCCACGCAGCAGCTTTTCCTGTTGCACGTATGGGCCGGCTCGAGCCGGTTAGTACCACGACCTCACAGAATACCACGTTACTCCACTCCTGAGCGTGGGTGCTCAGGCGTATTCTGAGGGGGGAGGGCAAAATTCCACTCAACACAATAACTGCTCGGGGCAAACTGAGCAACAAGACCAAGGCGACCCCTGCCACGCAATCCGTGAATTTCTGCAATATCAGGGGACTTCACTCGAAACTAAACGCCGTCCACTACCATCTTTAGACGACGAAGCCGGCCTTGCTCCTGCTGACCAAGACGCAGGTGTACTCTCCGTCTGATACTTCGTATCTCTCCTACCCGGTGTACAAATTGGAACACTTCTTTGTGCCTCGAGCTGGAGTTTGCGTATAC